GAACAAAAAACAAAAAACACAAAACAAAAAACAAAACAAAACAAAACCCCCCAAAAAAAACCACGGAAAGAAAGGCATCCGCCGGGAGGACACAAAGCCATTTCCTTCACACTTCTTAAAACTTCTCCCTGGCAGGGCCGGGCAGGGTCGACCTCCGGGGTGCCGGTGGCCTCTGCCCCCAGGGTCGATGTGGGGGGGCGGAGGGGCAGGAGTGGAGGGGGCAGCGCCACCGGACGAGCGCGGGACAGCGTGGAGCTGTCCGCGGCACAGGTGCTGAAGGCGGGACCGGGTTCCATGGGATGCGGCGGAGGATGATGGGGCTGAGGGAGGCATAAGGACGGGTTCTTGGGTGGGAAGTGGGAGGGGGCTGAGAGGGATGGAGTTCTCCCTGGAGAGAGCGTGCAAAGGAAGAACTTTTGGGTAGATGGTGGGAAGGGACAATCCTTTGACAGGTGGTGTAAAGAGGGGATTCTTGGACAGCCCTTGGATGAGTGGTTCAAGGGGGGACACTTCGAAGCCATAGCACAGTGGAATATCATTGGGACAGATGGCGCAAAAGGGAAGCCCTTAGGTAGTCATCACAAAGGGGAACTCCTTGGAAGGGTGGTGCAAGGGGGAAACTCACGGTCAGCCAGTGGAAAGTATAAAGACATGAATAGGTAGCTCACAGGGGGACTCCTTCGACAGGTAGTGCAGCAGAGGAAACCTCGGACAGTGGTGCAAAGGGGAACACTTGGACAGCCAGTCCATAGGCGGACTTCTTGGATGGGTCATGCAATAGGGAAACTCTTGGACAGGCTGTACAGATTGGAAGCCTTTTGGTAAAACAGTTGGACAGAGGGTGTCAAGGGGGAACACATGGAGAGGCAGTGCAAAGGAGGAACATTTGGAAAGGAGGGTGTCCCTAGACAGAAGGGGTGCTGGAAGCAGGGGGAGGATCGCACCTGTGTATGTTCATCTCCCGGGGCGGGCGCCGTGCCTTGTCGTAGGCCACCTTGGCAAAGACGCCGGCGATGAGCACGAAGGCAATGGCCCCACACGAGATGTAGACGGTGGCATTGGTGCTGTCCTTGTCTGGGTCATACTTGTTGGCGTCCCCGTCGGCGCCGTTGCTACCGTCGGCGGGCAGCGCACCGCTGGCGGTGGTGGGGTGAGCCCACTCGGGGCTCTTGTAGTTGCGGCACAGGCTCTGGTTGAGCTTCTCGGCGCGCTTGTTGCAGCAGAAGCGATAGAAGCAGGTGCCGCAGCAGTAGCGGAAGCCTGTAAGGCTGTTGTTGCACTCGAACTCCTTGTCCCACTGCCCGCTCACGTCGTAGTACCCCCAGCACGTCTCGTGCGCCGGGGCCGAGCCCCCG